TTGCGTTGGCTATCATATGGTTCAAAGAGGGGTATTCGAAAGGTAGGCAGTACATGGATGAGCTAACGGCACAAGAATGGGGTGGGATGCACTTGATAGACGAATGTAAGGACGCATTCCTCGGATGTATAGATGACAGAAGCCGCTTGGAATTGTTCCCAGTCAACAACGTTTACGGCAAAACGGACTCGTTTGCAGGCCATATGTCGGATAAAGAAGGGCCGCCTGGATTCAATGCACTATGTCGAACGACAAGCAAGGACTGCCTAATTGATTCAACCTTCCTATCGATTGGATCCCGCATGTGGTGGTGAAAGGCAATTCTCTTATACAATGGCGTTAAGCAGAACTAATTAGGTGTGTTATATTCCGGTCTGAGTCTTGTGTTCTTCTTGTTTGAATATTTGTAAGTAAGAATGATGGTGTAGTTCGTAATGTAATTGTAGCGGATGCTTAAACAGTGGGAAGCATTCGCAATAACTATAAATATGGTATTTGTTCTTTGCTGATATGCTAAGTGTATGTACTTTGTTAATTTCAATATGCGAATATTGTATTTATTCTTTAGTAATATGCTAAAAGTTCATTGTTATTCTTAACACATCAATATTGAATGTGTTCTTTGCTAATGTGGTAAGTGTACGTTGTTAATTTCAATATGTGAATATTGAACTTGTTCTCTATTAATATGCTAAAGGTTCTTTGTTAATGTAACAACATGAATATTGAATTTGTCCATTGCTAATATGGTCACTCGTCGTTGCTAATGCGGACTGAAAATATAGTAGTGGCCCTGGTAGTGCAAGACCATCTTGTAAACAACATAGATTTATACCTGATGGAATTGCAATTTTAGAATGACACTACTGTGAGGAAAATGAAATAACATAGAGGCAAAATGACATTGTAATATCCGTCACAAGATAGCAAATATGTAGTCCATACAGAATTCCACTGATGCATTGAATTGCAACATGATATGACAGTATTTGCAAATCATATGGCAATTGGTGCCTCAAAACTCCAAAAACACCTGGAGCAATGGAACTTCCTACAACTAACTTGTAGGAGCTACTTATAATCAAAATTATAGTGGCTTCCCCAGTTGAAAGGATTAGTCCATGGAGGATGTCACATACTGGGTTTACTGGGACATAAACCGCTGGTCGGGAAATTGACAGTCAAAGGTAAATTGACTTTGGGACTGGGTCCTGCCTCTGATTACGCCAGCATCCCTAGCATACTTGTTCTCGGTAATATCAGCTTTTTGACGCCTAAGTGACTTGAACCGCTTCTTCGTAGCTGCAACAGTGTTCACTTTGTGCTTCAGAGTCAATGAATTAACTTGCGTTGTGGATGACGGTGTCCGACCTGGACATGACCCTAAACTTTAAACAAACTCTAATTCATATACTCCAATTCATACATATCGCAAGGAAGACTAACAAGTTGTTAAGCACACGTGAATTATGAAGGGCGGACAACAAAATAGATTGGATAATCGAATGATTAAGTGGTACTTACAAGGATGTTGTTTGTCCTTACTGCGATGTCCACCCCTATTAGGCCAAGTCTTTTGGAGGCCAGTGAGTTATTTGCCAACTAGTTGGACACATTTGGCGTATACTTCATCGTTTTGACTCAATAATTTCAGTGAACATTCATGTATGGTTGCAGATATCTCTCTGTACCTTTTGGACTGATTATCTGCAGTCGTTAGGGGATCTGAAGGCGGAGCAGCATCCGGTCTTCCTAGAAGCAATTTTTGCTTCACGTCCTTCCTCCACCTAGGTAATATTAAGTGGTCTGGAAGTTCAGCCATGTTCGTGTTCCCAGCAGACGAGAGGTGGTCCATAACCTTCAGGATATGGACGCATGGATATTCGACGGTGGGAAAAAGACGACACTGACACTCTAGCTGTGTGTTGGGGATGTGAACACGGATGGCACGTTCATCATATCGCTCCCCTACTTTGGTCCTGAATACAAGATAACCCCTAATGTCGTTTTCATTGTCAACAAAGACCTCCCGTATCTCATACTGTAAAGTTTTCACGTGTTCTTCCTGCAAACATGTGAAAACGCTTGGTGTAAAGATATCTGACGCCTTTCTTGCAAGCAGGCTGCGGTATAGGATTAAGAATCTTCTACCATTTATGCCTCTGTAATCTTGCTCGGCCTCCTCTGCCCTTCTCAACATCAACATGCTGCAGGACAAGAGGCAAATAGATCAACTAGTATTCACTGAAAATTTAGTTGTAAATCCTTTATAAAGTATGTACCTGTTGAACCGGATGAAAAGGACATCAAAGTTGTTTCCCCAAGAAGGAACGACTTCACGTAGGCATTGCACGCCTCGCTGGACTGCGTAGTTTTCATCCCAGCCATGAACTTCCTTTTCAACCATGCCGATCACCACTTCTCGCGAAGTTTTTAAAAATCAAAACTGCCAATGGGTCCCACTTTCAACATCCACACCGGGGAAGCATTCCTCGATCATAGCAGCCCATGCTATGTCAAACTCTTCTGCTGTATCGGCATGATAGAACAGGTACATCATGTGATCCTTAAATTTCTGGGTGTGGGAAATTGAGCCAAGATGTTCCTCAGCATTTGATCTCAAGTGCCAGGTGCACAACGCATGATATGCAGAAGAGAGCTTGGACTTTATGGCAGCAGCGATGGCAGCATCTTGATCACTGAACAAGATTGTTGGCTCCTCGCCCTTCATGCAATCCAAGAAGTTCGAAAACAACCACTCAAAGTAGGGAATCGTTTCATGGTACATCAGACATGCTCCGAAAATCATCAATTGTCGATGGTGATTGAACCCGACAAAGAGAGCTGACATAATAAGTGAAAGATAACAAAGCAAGGTTGCTTGCTTCTTTTAGATTAAGATAAAAAAATGCATTACCAAATGCATTTCCAACAGGCGCCATCAGATAAAAAATAACTACGTTAAAGTGCATACCTGCGGGGCGGTATTTGCTGTTTGTTCTGAAGGTCGTATCAAATGAGACAGAATCATCAAATAGTTCGTAATCCAACTGCATCGTTTGGTCTGCCCAGAAAAATGTTCGCAATCTGCTCGCATAAATCAACCTCCACATTGTAGAAGAACGATGGGTCTGTCTTTTGTTCTTTCTGGAAGTATTCGTGGAGAAAGGTCCCTTCACCGTGCCCCATATCCCTCTGCCTTCTCCTACAAATAGGGGTGTTCAAACGGTTTGGTTACCATGGTAACCATTTTAACCAGTAGTATTTGGCTAATTTGGTTTGGTTAATTTTGATAATTGGTTTGGTTTGGTTAAAAATTTAGCTTGTTTGGTTTAAATGGTCTGGTTTGGTTTCAGGCACTCCTAACCAATCAAACCAAATTAACCAGTTAAGTAATTTGTCATATATCTAATATATATTTTATACACATACTTAATACTTTGCATAACCACTCAAGAGTCAAACGTAAGATAATTGTATTTATTACATGTATTTACGTTAAGGGTTAACTATAATTATGTGGATTGTTATGTGTTGTTCATTATATAAATTGCAAATTGATGCACTAACTGAAAATTTTTCTCACTTAATGATAATGTGGTGTTATATTGGTTATTTTGGTTAACCAATTAACCAAACTGATTAAACTTTAGTTTGGTTAATTTGGTTGTTGTATTAGTTTGGACGGTTTGGTTATGATATTGTATTCCATGGTTAATAGATTTTAGACTTATTTGGTTTGGTTATTACCATGGTAACCATTTGAACACCCCTACCTACAAAGGTAGTTCTTCTTATCATCTTTTGTGAAACCAACTTTTGTGGGCCCTCCACCAGTTCGGACCATAAACTCGTATGAGGATTTGAGCTTCACTCCAGCATCTGCATTGTCTTCGATCACTTTTGCTTCAGCAGCAAAAATCTTTTTGTAGGTGATCAATAGATGATCCTTGGCGTGGAGATCATGGTTGTGGTGACCATCAAATTCACAAATATAGAATACATTGAGGTCATAATCTCAACTGAATTTCACATGTGCTTCACAACTAGAGGTGGCAATTAGGATCCAAATCCATGAATCCAATCCAATCCATCCACCAAATTATCCACCTAATCCAATCCATTTAAATCCAATCCATTTGATCCAAATCCAATTGGATTGGTGGATTCATGGAACAATCCACGGATCCAAATGGCAAATTATGATTTGGTACCTATATTTTTTATATTTTACATTTTGGTACCTAAAATTTATATTTTTATACGAAAAATATCATTGGAAAATTACATTTTGGTACCTAAAATTTTTCATTATGACATTTTAGTACCTAAACTTTTCAAAATTTACATTTTAGTCCAAGCCTTGGATGTTATTTGGATTCATGGATCAACCCACCAATCCATTGGATCCAATCCATGAATCCACCAATCCATTGGATCCAATCCATTTGATCCATGGATCCACGAATCCGATCCACGGATCCACGAATCCGATCCAATTGCCACCTCTATTCACAACCCAATCTTAGTTCGTTGCGCCGCCTTTCCAGAACGGCCTCTCCATAATGGGAATTGCCTTCATTTGGGACTCGGGGAGTCTACCAAACCTCTTGGGATTGTTTGGGCTACGTCTACTAAAGCCTTGCTTACTGCAGCATAAGTGAAGATGGTGGTAGAACTTGTGGGATTCACCATTCGCGTTACTCAAGCGCTTCCACTTCCGTTTTTCAATTTGATCAGAAAATCCCTTGAAGTGAGCATAACTCCTGTACAACCAATGACACTGATCAGGAGTACGAGGCTTGATACAATGACGTTGTTCATCAATATCTACCAATGGTATCCAAGTCTCTGCAACGAAATAATTGTCTATCGACAAGGTAAATACATTCCCCTTCAGCGTAAATAATATTCACTAAGGCTGGAAACGTTACTTCGATAAAAAGCAAACAACATTCATTAATGCAACACAAACCCAAAAGAACATACCCACCTGTTGTACTCAATAAATGCAGAGGAATCTTCTTTTCTCATTATTACTTCAATAAATTCGCAATCATATAAAACCCAGCAGCTGCCTAGGTAGAGAAAACGTACCCAGCTCCTTTTGTTCTTCCATATCTTTATCCAAGTCCCCATTGTCGGCATTCTGTTATCCAAACGGCGCAGGTGAGTAAATTCATTATCAACGACAAAACAGGAACACACGTACATCTTGCTCACCAGATCGTCCAAACAAGGCTCCTCTGTAGGTGGAGGCGGCTCATTAAGATCTACTCCGGTGAAACTTATATATCTTACCCCACAGGTAGAAGAAGATGGCGCTTTCCGCTGAAACGATATGACTTCTCCTTATCTCCCCGCCTTTTCCCCCTTCTTCTCCTTCGACGCCTCTCCTTATCTCCACCCTTATTTCTCAGCTACTCTATGCTTGAAGAAAACCCTAAACTCCCTGGTCGAAGAAAACCCTAAATTAGGGTTCATTAGACATTACAACTTGAATGGAGCGCGTGATTTTGGTGGGGGAAAAGGATTGGGCCAGGGATTCAAAAATTAAAATTCGAATGGGGTAGCGGGATTTGGAAACAAGGAAGCGGGAGCTAAATGATTTGGCGGGCGACTCAATTTTTGAAACGGAAGAGAGGCTCGTGTTTTTAGAAAACGAAGCAGAGGATCGTGTTCTATCGACTCGCGATGGAGATGAAAACGAAGCAGGGCAATGGCCACGCAAGCATTCAGGCAGGAGAGAGGGTCATGTTTTACGAAAGCACACATGGTTGACGACTGACCTCCACATTCCACTAGCAAACCCAAGAATCCATCTGACCCGTTGCTGGAGCGTGGCCTTCATCCTGGCCGTTGGGAGGAGGTCCTCCCACCATATCTTTTCTGGTCTCACACCCCTAATTGTTCTCCCAAATGCTTGATGCCTCGGGAAACATTACTAGTTTCAGTCCTTCCCTGCTCCTCGCTATTGAGGTGATCAATCAATCTCTTACAGTCCGATTCCAGCAGGAGAGGTCTCAGTCCAAAGGTCGATGCCTGCTTGAGAGCAAAAAGCATAGCCTTCCCTTCAGCAACGTCGGGAGACCATACATGATCTTCTTTGGACGCTCCTGCTAAGACCAGCTTGCCATTCCAGTCACGAATAACAAATCCCAGTCCCACTTCACCTCTTCAGTTGAATCCTATATCTGTGTTTACATGACAGACCTTCATCCAGATACAAGTATTTTGCCACACAGTTCACACACTCGTCGCTTGCTGTTTGGACTTTCCTCCTGCTAATTCTTTCACCAACAACAGGGAGGATATCGTGCAAGATTTTCCAAAGAAACCCCTTCAATTTACCCGGTAACAGTTGTTTCATTCCATATTTTCTTCCACACTTGATCAGCTTCTGGATTAGAGGGACTCATCTGTGATTCCTCATCCATCAACCTGTCAATTTCCAAAAGAATATCCAGATGTCACCTGTCCAGCACAATGTGTCATTCGTATTGGTTGCAGAGAGAGGAATGGCAAGGATAGCTCTTTCTTCTTCTTCTTCTTCTTCTTCTTCTTCTTCTTCTTTGGCGCTTCACATGACCGAGCATGCGTTGGGATTCTCGTCGCTGAAGGCGGTAGTGGTCTTGACCTCGAAGGACGTGGCCCGGGCCAGCGCAGAGGCCTGCGGGTCGTACATCACGTTGCGGACATAACCCGGCGGCGCCTTCTTGTCGTAGGAGCCAGGCGCGTACGGGTGGTCGACGACATCGTAGGGGACGTAGGGCCACAGATCCGCCTTCTTGCCCGTCCGGTGGCGGACGCGGTTCAGGACTTTGTTGGGATCCACATACCCGATTACCGTCAGTTTGTGCTGCTTGGGATTCACTTCCACTTGGGTCACCCCTTTCATCCCTTCCACCGATTTCCTCACTTTCCTCTCGCAGCCTTCGCAATCGATCTTCACCCTGATCTCCACCGTCTGCCCCAAACCCCAACCAGGCAAAATATATCAGTGACCTACCTAACTGTGAACAGGTGGGAATTAAAGCAGGGTAGGAGCTAGGATTTCTTTCTATTTCTACATCGCTATCTTTAATTCCAGTTCCAATACCTGTAGCTGCTTGCGCTTGAGCTTCTTGCTGTCATGGGAGGGGCCAGAATCGCAGAGCTCGGAGAAGTGATCAAGGATACCCATCTTTTCTGTCGCGGATTCAAGGGTGGGTTTTAGTTTTAGATAGGAAGGAAGGAAGGAAAGGGACGAAGTTTAGGAAGAGAAAGCTTCAGCTTTTTTCAATTTAAAGGGAACAGCGGCCATAGCAGAACCGAACAGAGGGATGATAGAAAAGAAAAAGAAATGGTTAATGCCTGGCCAAATTACGGTATTATATTTGTCACTGTGTTGGACAGGTGGGACGCACAACGGCCGGCCATGATTGGATTTGGAGCTTCCTTAGAGATGAAAGGGTTTCCTATTAAACGTTGGCAAGCTAGAATCTTCCGTGGGAGGTGATGGACTAGATGCACATCGATAGTCTGCTGTCCAGTGGAGCAAATGAACAGAGGATGGGATATTTTGTTGCGTTGGTAGGTGGATTGTTGTTTTATATGGGCTACACTACACAATAAGAATGTCATTCCGTATTGGAGCATCGACTTTGATTAAGCAATTGAGTTGTGATTGACGGGTTGAATTGGATTCAATCCCACTGATTTGATTTATATAAATTTTATAAAGAATTTGTGTCCAATGCAGTAAGTGCACGTTTGGTCACTCAAATTATGTAAATCTTTTATGTATGCCATTTAAATTACTTTTCTTTATTAATCGCCACTAACTTTATGAATCGTTTCACCGTTAGTCATCGGCCGTTAGTCTCCGTAAGTTTTTTGATGACGTGGCAAACAGAACTGATGACTGGACTGTTAACTTAATGACATGTCAAATTAAAAAATAAAAAAAAAATAGTTAAAGGGAGGTGCGGCCTGCGGGGTTTTGGGGAAGGGTTATCGAGTTGTTCTTCCCAGCGATGGGACGTTGGTCACCGTGAAATGCTTGGCGGAGAAAGGGGAGAAGTTCGAGAAGACATGCCCAGAACTTAGAACCCATCCATAACCAGTTCAATTGTCTGGTTAATTCGTCATCGTCGGCGGGTTGATGAACAAGAGTAGAGGGCAACACTAGCAAACCCAACTCCGCTCATGGGGAGATATCATTCATCACCAGATTACCCATCGTTTTGAACTTAAAATCTACTCCACTATACTCTATTAAGATCCAAATACATTTGTAGTGTCAAGGGTGAGGAAAAAATCCCAGAATACTCGAGTTATTAAAAAAAAATTCCCTAAATACAGTACTTATAAAAGTAATTCCCAAAATACAGCAGTTTCAACATCACTGTCTTTGTCTAAGACAGTGATGTTGATCACCGCTTTCGTCCAAAACAGTGAAGCAGCGGGGAACGCATCACCTCCTTGGACGAAAGCGGGGAATGCATCATCGCCTTGGACAAAAGCGGGGAACATATCACCGCTTTGGACGAATGCGGAGATCGTATCCCCGCTTTTGACAAAGGCGGGGAACGTATCCCCGCTTTTGACATCAACAGTGAAGGCATCCCCGCTGCTGTCCACAACAGTGATTGCCACCACGTTTTACTTAGGCCTGGTAGGTGGAGAAGTAGGTAACAGCTACCTAGCTATCACCGCTGTTGACTAAGGCGATGATGTGTTCACCGCCGTGGTCCAAAGCGGTGATTAGCTGTCAATTTTTCCTATAAAAACCCACACCACTTCCCTCCTGCTGCCAAACAGCAAATTAGTACAAAAATTATCGTTTTGTTAAGTCGTTTTCGCAGCTGGTTCCTCCGTAGTTTACTGCTCAAGAAACTCGTCGGGATTCGGTATGTTAGAATTATGTATTGTTTACATTTTGATTATGTGCTAGAATTAGGTATGTTAGAATTATATATTTAGATTAATTATGATATGATATATGTTAGTTAGTTAGTACTGAATTTAGATTAATTTGTTTAGTTTTCTCATGATAGATCGGGATTGAGTATGTTATAAGTATGTATTTTTTACATGTTGATGTGTTAGTAATTTTCTGTATTTAGTGAATTGCGGTTATTGGAAAATATGTTATGATATTATTTAGTTTAATTATGATATGATAGATGTTAGTTAGCTAGTTATGAATTTAGATGAATTTGTTTAGTTTTCTCATAATAGATCAATTAGTTGCATTTTATTATCGCTTTGGATGATATTGTTTTTGTATCCATAATGTACTAATTATATACTATACTTAATTATTATAAATTGCAGACATGGGTAAATTTAAGAAGTTTCGGCTTATTATTTATTGGAATGGTCGGGTGACAAACTCGAACATTGGGATCGACTATGAAGATGGCGAATCCAGTATGCTTACAATTGAGTCGAGATTCTCGTGGTAAGAACTCCATGACAGGTGTGCAGAAAGGACTTGTACGGGCGGGCAAATGAGAGTTCGTCAAATTACTTACCGGTATCCCAACATGAGTGCTGACGGAGTCATGTACGAAAAAGTTGACATAAATGATGATGACGACGCGAACATGATGACACAGTTCATATCTGAGAACGGGGTGCGGCTTGCAGAGGTGTATGTCGAGACCGAGTCGGTCGGTGAAACTCATTCTCACCAGTATTCTTATGATGATGGTTTTGCAGGAGGGTATGGCTGGGGTGGTAGTTCAAGTAACTACGGAGCAGGTTCTTCTGCCGGAGGGTATGGTTGGAGAGGTACTTCAAGCAACTACGGAGGAGGTAGTTCTGAAGGAGGTGTTGGGTGGGAAGAATACCTGCCACATGGTGGTGAGACTGCCGTCAATATCGTTTAGCCCGACGGTGATCAATGGCCTGCTTGGGGTCCAGAGTGGGGTGACATTGAAAACACCCTTCGATCTGGGCGTACTTCGCATGACCAAGAAGGCGATGCTGGTTATGCTGGTAACGATGACCATCCTTCGCCGAGCTATCCATTCGCCTCCAGTGACGATGAAAGTGAGGAAGATTTGAGATCAGTCAGTGAGGAGGAAGATACGGACGATAACGACGATATCGATGACAGTGAGGTGGCGTTCCGACAGGCACCAACGCCTTACTACACAGAGGTTCCTGATCAATTTTTATATGGTCAGAACGATGCCCCTGATTTTCGGCTCATGCCTGTGTATAATCCGACTGCTAATTTGGAAGTGGGTATGGAGTTCACTTCGAAAGCCGATGTGCAGGACGCTTTTAGCGAAGAAGCCATGCGGCGTAATTTCGAATGGAAGGTAAAATATTCTGACAAGGGACAACTGCATGTCATTTGTAAGAATGCTGGAGAGGGTTGTATGTGGCAACTTCGTGCTGCATATATGAAGAGAAAGGGGGTCTGGGTCATGCGGACAGTAGAGAACAACCACAGTTGCTCCTCAACCATACTTTCACAGGTTCACCGGCAACTGAAAGCAAAAAAAGTGGCAAGAACCATTAAGCACCTTATCGAGGCACAACCAGATATCAAGATAAAAGCTATCATGGCGGAGGTGAAGGATCGACACTCCTACACCATAAGGTATAAGAAGGCGTGGCATGGGAAGCAGAAGGCCATGGCTGATGTCTACGGTGATTGGGATGACTCGTATGCTTTACTCCCCAGACTAATGTCCGCAATGGAGGAGTCCAACCCTGGGACGGTTTTCGTGCCTTGGTACAACAACGTAGAAACTAAAGATCAAGTTCGAGTACAGAACGAGTTGATGTTTCATCGTCTGTTCTGGACATTCAAGCCATGCATTGACGGGTTTCCCTTCTGCATGCCAGTGATTCAGGTATATTACGGACTCAAAATATTGTACTATTTCATTACTTTACTAATTTCAATTTTTACTAACTCATCGTTTCATTTTAACAGGTTGATGGAACTTTCCTTACTGGGAAGTATAAAGGAACTCTTCTTATTGCCACTGGGGTTGATGGAAATTTAAGTATTTTTCCCTTAGCATTTGCATTAGTTGAAGGGGAGAACAACCTAAGTTGGGCATGGTTTTTTGACCAGCTACACGCCCACGTCACACAAAGAATGGGTATTACAATTATATAGGATCGACATGCCGGGATTAAACACGCCGTCCGTGGTTTCCCGGACGAATGGGGATGGACATGGCGTTGGTGTATTCGTCACTTCCTAGCCAATTTCCAACACAAATTTGGCAAGAAGAAAGACATAAGAGATCAATTGTGGAGTGCAGGTAATAATGTAATTCAGTGCTTGTTCATGGTTTATTGTTCAAATGAAATTTCTTATGGATTAATTATTAATTCTCCGGTCTTGTAGCGGTTGCACATCAACCAAAAAAGTACGAGCAGAAGATGAAGACGATCCGTCAAATACACCGGGCGGGAGCAGTATGGGCAGAAGGTCAAGATCTGCACATGTGGACATTTCACATGGACAACGGGGCTAGATTCGAAATTGCAACTACCAACCATGGGGAGAGCATAAATGGAGTCTACAAGGGCATTAGGGCAATGCCTGTATCTGTCCTAGTGGAGATGACATACTGGAAGGTAAACGAGTGGTTTGTGAAGAGACGGGATGCTGCTATAGGGAGGGAGCGTGCTGGTCATTCAATAGCTAAGCATATATTTGATGGCATGCAGAAGATCGAAGAGAAATCAAGTAAGCACAGAGTTGTTCTGTTCAACCGCAATGAAGGTATCTGGGGTGGAGGAAGACGTGGGCATAATCGTCAATCCGTTACTCTACACGTAGAAACTCGCACCGGAGAGTGTACATGCCAAAAGTATCAAAACAGAAGAGTACCTTGTTCACATGCAATGGCAGTAGCTAAGTCGATAACCCTCAGCGCTTACAGTTTGGTTAGTCCTTACTACACGGAACAGGCTATCAGGAACTCCTACTCGTCAAGTTTTAGCCCCCCGCCGGATGAAGCTTATTGGCCTGTAGACAATGGGAAGTTGATTATCCCACCGTTACACTTAAAGCGCACCAAAGGTCGTCCTAGGACCGAAAGGATTCACAATGAAATGGACCAATCACAACGTGCCCGACGGGGTCCAAAGCGTTGCTCAAAGTGCAGACAACCGGGTCATGACAAGAGGCGTTGCCCAGGTCCACCTCTAGAGCAAGATTCGGCGCCAATTCCGAACCAACCTTGATGTTGTTGTTGTTCACTTCCTTGTTTTAATCTTGTTGAATAGTTTTCGTTGTTGTGATGTTT